GGGGGGGGGGGGGGGGGGGGTACTCTTATGTTTTGCATGCCTTAGCGGTGAGACCATTGACCACGCGTGGAGGATGAAACATTGGTCCCACAGGACCGATCACCGATGGTCAATCGTTCCTTCCAACTTTGCCAAAGGTGGCTCAAAATGTTTTCCCTAGCCTTTCTATCCTATCGATATCACCTCCCGCCTTTTCAACCCACTTCCAATGCCCCAGTACAGCTACCATCTTCTCCTGGCTATTCCATGTCTCAAACATCTCCCTGTATCTTCCTCCTACTTTTCCCAGCTATGACATGTGCGCTTCCCTCTCCTTGTTGTACAACGGACATTCTGCGACTACATGAACCCGGTCTTCGCACTCGGAGCCGCATTTACATTTGAACTTTTCGTCTTCATCGTCGAACGATGTTGGGGACAAAGTGCAACCTTCTGGGATCCCCTGTTCCCATGTTGAAGAATTTAGAAAGTTCTCCGTCTAGCATGACAGCGCTTTTCGGCACTCTGTTGTCTTCTTCAGCACTCTCCACATTTTCCCCTTCATCTCATACTTGGACAATTGTTTCCACAGGCCATTTCTCCATACTGTATCGTATGCCTTTTGTACATCCAAGAAGAAGCAGTACGTCAGCTTCCCCGCCCTCTCTCTACCTTGGACGATTCTCCCTACCGTAAATGCGCGGTCTACGCACCTCTTCTTCTTTCGGAAACCTTCTTGGACCTCACTTAACCTACCTTCCTTGTCGAATACTCCAACTATCCGTGGATGGGGGGGGGAGGGCGTCAAGGGAAGCAGCGTTTTTCTCTTTTTTGGGGGAGGGAGGTTGGGAGTTATTTGTTATTTCGAAAGGGTGCAATGCTAGATTAGAGGGACCGCTTCGTACCAATGGGCTCGCGCAGAATCGTTACGCAATACTTCTTGATGCAGGTGCGGCAATGTCCGCTGCTGGTTGTGTCGATTGGTTGTACCTCGCGGCGCTGTGGTATTGGCTACGATTGTATCCACACTCCTGCTACGTATCCGCTACAGCAGGTTGTGGGTGTGGCGTGTTCGCGCCGTAGCTACCTCGTGGGACATTCGAAGCAGCAAGCGAGGGCGCGCTTCAAGACAAAACGCACCACGGCAACAAGCCGCGGAGATCAACCAGGCACATACGGCTGGGACACCAACACAAGACTAGCGTACCCCCTGGCCCGTCTCCGCCGCATATCGGCCGGGGCACGCGGATCGCCTTGGCCTCGTACATGGCCTGAAGGCCTGCTCGCTCAGCCTCCAGCATGCTGGCACCGGAGGGTCCCGCCTTCTTGTAGAAGTACTTGTCGTATATACAAAAATAGCGTAAACGAAAGGGAGAACAAATGGTACGGGAAGGGGGGGTAGTAAGAGGCGCGCGGGGGGGGGTGCAATGACTGGCGAGGCGGAGAGAAGTCTTGAGTGTTTGCCACCCGGTGTGCGATTGACAACACGATGTTGAAGCTGTTGCGCTCGGGTCCGGGAAGGTGGCACCAGGAGACCCACAAGGTCTTCTGTCGATGGCAGCAAATACGGGCTAACAGTGTGCGGTTGGGGGCCGTGGAAAGCCTTGTCTTCAAAACTGCCTCTTCGGTTACATATGGTTCCGACAAGGGGTTCTTCACAGGAAAAACCTGTCCCCACTTTCACACGGACCCCCGCTGTGTTCGATACCAAACAGAAACCGCCCCGCCCCGCCGCTGCGAACGCCAATACTCCCACGGTCGAAACATCGGTATCCTCGAAAGAGTAGTGGACTAGACAAAAAACCTACTGCCGCACGACACGCGGAGACTTGTCTGGTTCATAATAAACCTTGCAGCGCACTCCTTCAATTGGGAGTGAAGGCGAACACGTCGCGGAAACAGACGCTGCTGCCGTCCGACGGCCCCACCTTGTCGCCGGTTTCGAGGTCGTCGATCGTGCCCACCGAAGCCCCTCCGCCGCCGCCGTACCCACCCCCTCCGATCTTAAACCGCTGCTCTGCGCCAGCGGTACCCACCCCCAAGGCTTCGGCCAGCGAATCAGCCATCGTCTCCGTCAAAGACTTGGCACCGCCCCCGCTCGCTGCTGCTTGCAATGCGGTCCTACAGGATCGCCCAGGCACGGTAGCAGTAGCGGAGGGTAGCATTTTCGCGCCAGGCGTCGTCGAGCCGCAGGGGGCGTGCTGCCAGGCTGCTGCGAAGTGGGTAGCTGAGAACGGATAGGTAGGATGGGAACTCAGCGCTATTGCAGCAGTCGGAGCGGCCAGGCCACCTAGCTCTAGCTCGCTAGAGTTATATCTCTCTCTTTCTCTCCCACTTTCTCTCTGTCTCTCCTAATGCATCCAAGACGCTCTCTCTCTCTCTCTCTCTCTCTCTCTCTCTCTCTCTCTCTC